CACTTGTCAACCAGTACCGCAAGTACCTGATTGATGATCCCACCCGGCCATACAGCTCCTGAGGTACTACCCCGTACTCTTGTGGACACCACCATCCAACAGCTCGTACGCCTACTACCAGCACCCCTTCGTCGCGCTTCTGCGAATTCTTGGGGCGACCACCTTGGGAACTTTATCACATCCCTCGCCCACATTCCCCAGATTCTTGAGAAGTCGCCTGTATTTCTATGGGGAAAACTTCCGCGCCATGACTCGTTTGTCTTGCTCCTCAAGCTGGACTATCCCAAGACCGAATATTTCTACAGTGGACCCCGCATCAGACCATCTACACTTTTGTTCACAACTGTCCTGGAGCTTCCTTGCAAGGAATCCTTACCGACGGCATCATTCGACCCAGCTCTTGGAAGGCTACACGGGACTCTGATTTCTTCCCCAGCCTGGGCTTCTACTGTCGCTGCTGCTATCCGGGTCACACCCATACCTCCGACAAACGGATCAACCCGGACATTACTGATCAGTTGACCCCGGAACTTTATGCGGCTGCTTTCTAGTGCAACTTTTTGACTCAGGCGCGCGTGTCCAAAACAGTGCCTTCTATGATCTCACAGTCCTTTCTTTCCTTTTCCTTGCCCCTTTCCTTTCCCTGTCCTTTCATTCTTTCTTTCTTTCTTGTCTTTCCCTCATTGCTTTTCACCAATTTGCAATATTTGTGATCCCCTGGTCCTTACCGCCGCTACTTCCTTTCAGCTCTCAATTTTGCTCCGTTCGTGTCACATTCGTCCTTATCGACTTTTCCTTCTGACCATGGCCCGCGGACGCTCCACGAGCAGCTCCCCTGACGCTCATCGACACCGAGGAAAACGTGATCGTCGCGCCTCCCGCCGTTCCCGGTCTCCACGCAGGAAATCTACTGGGCTTCCAGTTGAAACTCCTCCTTCGACCACCTCCTTCGAGACCCGGTACCCGATTCCCAAGGCCTGGTCCTCCGATGACATTTACTTGGATCGGCAGCAGGAGTACAAACTGACTTTTCCTCGTCGAGTCATCGCAACTGCTTGGAGTCGTGAATTGCATATTGACCACCAACCCATCGAGGATGTACGCCTCATCGACGTACTGAGTCGCAAGCAGGAGAACTGGACTTTAAGGCTTGTCGCCAACGGCAGGTTGGTCCAGTACGAGGGATTCCGACATCGCCCGCATCATCGGTCACCTTCATCCTGCTTCCCTCAAGGACGATTGGGATGAGAAACGCAAAGGCTTAGATGGATTTTTCCCCACATCTCTGTGTGGGGTTCTAGTTTTGTTGGCTGCCATCCCGCCCGCATCCGTCCTTCCTTCCTTCCCTCCGTCCTCCTCGCCCCCTCCTCCACTCACTCGCTCGCTCGCTCACTCCCTCACTCACTCCCTCCCTCCCTCCCTCCCTCACTCACTCACTCACTCACTCACTCACTGCACACTCACACTCCCAGCAGTCTTGAGAGACTCAGTCACTCACTCACTCAGTCACTCACTCACTCACTCACTTGCTCACTCACTCACTTACTCACTCACTGCACACTCACACTCTCACTCAGTCACTCACTCACTCGCTCACTCACTCACTCACACTCCCAGAGCCAGTCACTCACTCACTCACTCACTCAGTCACTCGCTCACTCGCTCACTCGCTCACTCACTCACTCACACTCCCAGAGCCTGTCATCCAGAGACTGCAGAAGGGGCTGCGGCGCGCGTTGTCGCTGCTGGGCCCCCCTCTCTCTCTGCAGTGGCAGGCGCAGTATAAGAGCCTCCAGAAGGGGCTGCGGCGCGCGTTGTCGCCGCTGGGCCCCCCTCGCTCTCTGCAGTGGCAGGCGCAGTACCCAGAGCCTCCAGAACGGGCTGCGGCGCGCGTTGTCGCCGCTGGGCCCCCTGCGGTTCTGTGCGTTACTGCCATTGTGATTTGCAAAGCAATGGTTGTGACAGGCTGCGAATCGCATTGTAATGGCTGCGGCCAGGATGTGCGCACACTGTGTCTGTGCACTACTGCCATTGTGATTTCCATAGTATTGGTTCTTGCCGGTTCGGAGTCGCATTGTAAATGCTGCGAGAAGGATGTTTGCGAAGTGTGTCTGTGCACTGGTGCCATTGTGATTTGCAGGACCAGTGTTTGCGCGGCATGCGAATCGCCTTGTAAATGCTGCATAGAAGTTGTTTGTGAAGCCTGTCTCTGCGCTGCTGCCATTGTGATTTGCAAAGAAAGGGGTCTCACTGCATGCGAATCGCATTGTAATGGCTGTGGCAAAGATGCTTGCAAACTGTCTCTGCGCGGTACTGCCATTGTGTATGAGAACGGAGAGAAGGCATTCGCAGCCGATTGTATATTTGCCTTTTCTAGTCGGATATTCTCACTCACTCACTCACTCACTCCACTCACTCCACTCACTCACTCACTCACTGACTCACTCACTCACTCACTCACTCACTCATCGCTCTTCTCTACTTTCTCTCTTAAGGCCGGGGGCGGCGCCGCCGGAGCGCCACGAAACGCAACCCTCTGCGGAGATCGCGCGCGTCGAGGGCACGAAATGCAGGCGAGAGTGCGTTTTGGATTTGGCGCGGGCAACCCTCTGCGGAGATCGTGCGTGTCGAGGGCGCGAAATGCAGGTGAGATCGCGTTTTGGATTTGGCGCGGGCAACCCTCTGCGGAGATCGCGCGTGTCGCGGGCGCGAAATGCAGGCGAGAGTGCGTTTTGGCCCGGTCGCGGGCAACCCGCTGCGGAGATCGTGCGTGTCGAGCGCGCGAAACGCAGGCGAGAGTGCGTTTTGGCCCGGTCGCGGGCAACCCTCTGCGAAGATCGCGCGTGTCGAGGGCGCGAAACGCAGGCGAGAGTGCGTTTTGGCCCGGTCCGGGGCAACCCTCTGCGGAGATCGCGCGTGTCGAGGGCACGAAATGCAGGCGAGAGTGCGTTTTGGCCCGGTCCGGCACAACCTTCTGCGGAGATCGTGCGTGTCGAGGGCGCGAAATACAGGCGAGAGTGCGTTTTGGCCCGGTCCGGCGCAACCCTCTGCGGCGACCGCGCGTGTCGAGTGCGCGAAATGCGGGCGTAGTACAACTTTAGTGCGCGGAGCAGTCTGTGGAGCTGGAAGCTGAGAACTGGCGACTTTGTAGTACAACTTTAGTACGCGGAGTATCTGGGAGCTGGAAGATGAGAACTGGCGACTTTGTAGTACAACTTTAGTACGCGGAGTATCTGGGGAGCTGGAAGATGAGAACTGGCGACTTTGTAGTACAACTTTAGTACGCGGAGCAATCTGTGGAGCTGGAAGCTGAGAACTGGCAACTTTGTAGTGGAACTTGAGGACGCAGAGTATCTGGGGAGCTGGAAGATGAGAACTGGCGACTTTGTAGTACAACTTTTGTACGCGGAGTATCTGGGGAGCTGGAAGATGAGAACTGGCGACTTTGTACTAGTACGCGGAGTATCTGGGAAGCTGGAAGATGAGAACTGGCGACTTTGTAGTCCACCTCTTTGCGCGGAGCAAGCTGTGGAGCTGGAAGCTGAGAACTGGCGACTTTGTAGTACAACTTTTTTACGCGGAGCAAGCTGTGGAGCTGGAAGCTGAGAACTGGCGACTTTGTAGTACAACTTTAGTACGCGGATGAGTCATCTCTCGCGGCTGAGTCATCTCTCGCGGCTGCTCTGGCGCCCTGCAGCTGAGTCATCGACCACCCCTCTTGAGAGGTTGACAAATTTTAGCTACTTTGCTTACTCATAAGTGGCTGCCGCAAAAGAGTCATCGTGATGTTAGTATGTGTGTACTTCACCTTCATGACAAACGATGTTCGCTTGGAATACACGAGTCGCTTGTCATGATCGTGACGTCGTTTACTCTCAGGTCGCCCTGTTCGTGGAAACTTCAGTGTGAAATGTACGTTCTTCAGTTCTATTTGAACCTCTTCAGCGTTGCACTTGCACAACTAAGGTTGACGTTGCGCTGCCGTTGCATCGACGCATCTACGTCTACACCCCCTCACCTCTCTACACTTGCATCATCTTACATCTTCACACGCTCACGTCCCCAGATCTACCTCTCCACCTCACCACACCCACACATCTGCACATCTATATCACATCTGTACATCCACACTGTCGCTCCTTCACATCTGTCCTGTCTTTCTTTCGGAAACAGACATGCGCGACCCGTCGTCACTCTGTCGCGATTCTGCTTTTCGAGTTCGCGAGCCTTGAGTGTTTTAGTTGAATTTCACTTACTACCTGACCCTCAGGCGGTCATAGCTAGGTGGGCGTGTGGCAACCGCAACCGAATCAGTACGCACGTCAATAACTTTGCACGCCCCCTGGAATCAGCGGTTAGCTGCTAAGCTAGGGGTTCTCTCAGCGCGTGCTTTCAGATGACCCAGTTTGTGAAGATTACAATAGGCCGAGGTCGCGATCGGCGATAGGTTTGTACTCGTGACTCAAGACCGACTCATGCCCAGAAGAAAAACACACTAGAAGCAGCTCAGCCCATGCCTGCTCGCACCTCTGTCCGAACTACCTGTCGACCTTTCGTCCACCTCCGTCGAAGGGGGCTTTGCTCTCGGAGCCTGCGTGAGACGAGAGCCAACAAAGAGGCGCATGCAGTCCTTGTGACCTGCATCTAAGTGCAGCTAGTGGGTCCTACGCTGTTGGTCCCTGCTTGTGACTAGAGTCACCTTTCTGGCCAATGCATCCGTTCATCACCTCGGCGGATGAGCATTTGATTCAAACTGGAATCTGGAGACTTGAGGCTCGAGAATTCTGCAGTGTTGCTATCGGGGGACTTGCAACTTGGGAATTTTGGACTATCTTGTTCTTTTATCAAGACGTTGGAACATCGCCGCGAAGGGCTGCAGGTAACAAACTTGAATCAAACCATTTTTTCATTCAGGCCGTCCGGAGATAGTGCATTCAGTCCGCTCTTCTTTCTTTAGTGTGTGAAGTGAGCACTTGCTGGCGTTTAATCGCTTATTTCAGGAGAGCATTTACCCGAGCCAGGCTCGTTCAGTGATGCCCTGACTGAATTAGGCAGAAGACTCATTGAACCAATGCCACAATTGTCCTGCTTTGCGCACATAGCTGCCAAATCCGCAAGGATGTTCAAACATTGCCCAAACAGCCTTCTACCTGCATTCTACCTTTTGTCGTCAGTTGACAAACCGTACATTTTGACACCTGCTCCTGCTGCCACGTCGGGTTCATAGGTCTTGGAGTTGAACTGTTTTGGAAGGTCAACCCGACACTTGTGCAAGCGGCAAGCGTGTTTCAGCAACGGTCAGGTGTCCTACAATGCAGCCATGTCAGCATGCTCTGCAGGCAAACAAATGGGTTGGCATTTAAAGTAACGATGTTTGATTTGTAGCTATTTTTTGCGAGTGTTCCAACTAGGTAAAAATTGGAGTTTTCTGCAAGATTGTAAGTCTTCATGCCTGGAAAACGCATAGGTGCGGGAATGCATGGTTATGCAATGTTATGGAATGTGTTCACAGTGTTTCTACTCAGCATACTGGTTTCGTCTCGACATTGTTTGTATTTATGTGCCAACACAAGGCACTGTACGTCACATTGTATGTCGCATAGATTCCTATACCTCATCAGGTGGCCGAGACAAGGAAGCATTAGAGCTCCTTGCTGAGATGCATCATACCCGTTTCAGCCCGGACCTGACCACGTGACCAACGATTGTTTTGCAAACACCGACAGTGCATCAAACCATCAAAGCATCATCCTGCCTGTACAATACTTTGCCTTTGCATTTGATTCTTTTCATAGCAAATTTACTGTATTCTTTGCTTTTGCCGAGATATCAGGTACAACTGTGCTGCGACTGCCTGTGGAAGGCCCGTGATTGCCACAACATTGTTCAGGGGCGTAGGGTCCTACACACAGCTGTCAGGGCCTACAGGCCTACGACTCAGCGGGTGCAGGAGAGAAATGAATACAAATGTCTCAGACTAGATCGAAAAGCTCATTGGTGTCGTATTGCAAAGCGCCCTCTCACTCATTGGCACTTTCAAGAAGCCTTGTCCTCCCCACATAAACATGCTAAGTTCTCACCATGGCATAGGGCTTCCATGAGGCTGGGGAGCGCTCTGACCTTGATAGAAGAAGCAGAGCAATCTCGGCTAAAGCCAGATGTGCTTAGCTTCCTAGCAACTTGGCCTTGAAGTGGAACACGGGACTTTGTTTGACATTTCGACCCGCAAGCTGAACATAGCAACAGCAGAAGTGCTGAACAATTGGAATTGGATTTCAGCACCTCTGCACATTTGAAGGAAGGTCACGTTCATTCAAGTCACAACTGCGGAAAGCTGTGCTGTTCCAAATCTGCACCCTCAACAAAACCACCATAGGACCCAATTTTTGCAAGTAGTCGGCGGCAAGGGAGGAGAAACAGGAAACGTCAAAGTACTCCTCCTTGGCGACCGAGCGTTTGCGTCCCTACATGACAGAGAGAAGCATCCTCCGATTTCAGTAGTCAGTTCTTCAGGCTTTGGTACCAGCCCTGGGATGTTCAGCCGAACCGTCCGGAACTGAAAGTCAGCGGTATTTGCCGCATGAAGGAAATGAGTTTTGATGTTCTGGTGGGTTGGGGGTTGCAGCTTTGTAGGGGACCCCATCCGATATCAAGTCAAATCAGTCTCTAGTGGGAGTCAAACCAACTATCTACCAAACCATGTTGTTGCACGATTGCATAATTAACTTGCCTGGTGTGGCTTTGGACAAGCTTGGCTCAATTGTCAATACACACCTTTGGCATCGGTTTGGTATTGACCCTTGGGTGTGGCACCTTAGGGCCAAGATGTAGACAGGAGTCACAGTGACATATTTGTTGGCAACATGTTTGTATTTTGTTGGCAAAATAATATGCTACCCCCCTCCAAGATTTACCTTTTTTATGCTTTTGACAGATGCAGATGGTTGTGGACCAAGGTCTAGCTGTGATAAGAGACAGTTTGACAGATGCAAGTGAGCAAAGGAAACAGAAACTGGAGGACAAACAGTTGATTGGATAAGAAGACAATGATGTTACAGCATTAAGTTAAAAGATGAAAACAATGAACACAATGTTCAAGGGGCTTAAGGGGGAGACATAGAAAACAATAACAATAAAGAAAAATGAAAGGCGAGTACATTATTGCAGGGGATGTTTCTATTAAAATCATATTAGAGCAAAAGCGCACACAATATTTGAGGTGGTAATATTATTGAATATGTTTAGACATGGAAAAGCATAGGATAGGCATTGATTCATCCAGGTGGTGCTATTATTAAAGCCAAAAAAGCCATTATCATCGCCCGGGGTTATACTGTATATACGGTTCAAGATTTCTAGTGTGCTGGGCAACTCCTTGGTGGAATAGATGTTTGCAATGAAACAATTTAGTACGGGATTTAACAGAAACTAATTATAGAAATTCAAAGGAGATCAACGGGAAGCAAAAGGACTTTGAAAGGAAATGACAAGGAATCAGACGGAGTTCAAAAAGAAATCAATTGGAATCAATATCGAAACTTGCATGATTTCAGAACTGTAAAGGTAATTATTCAAAACCAACAATCGTTCAACGGGGAATCACAAAGAATCAAAAGGAGTTGAAAAGGAAACCGATTGAAATCAAAAGAATGTATATAACAGGGAGTCATTTGAAATCACAAAAATAACAGGTAACCAACAAGGACCACAAGTAGATTAAAAGAAAACCACGTGTAGTCAAAGGAATTTAAAAAGGATATCCTTTGACATCAAAAGAATTGTAAAAGGGCACCAACAAGAAACAAAAATAATTCAAAATAAATTTGAGAGGACATCAACAGGAATAAAAGGGGTATAGGACTTACAGTAAAATGCTGACTTCCCAAAGCTAGGGACTTAAACTATGTTTAAGAAAGTCAATGAACAAATATTGGCTCGTGCGGTTTGAGAAAGCCACATATATTCTTAGAAAGGAAAATGAAACGATTTTAAAAAGCGTATATTAATATTTTTAGATTTTAGGGCCTGAAATTTATAGATATTCTAAATATCGGAGGTTCCCGAGTTTTCCCGGGTTCCCGGAGCAAATATTATTCCAATGTTATAAATATAGAACATACTTATCGTATCTATAAATTTCTGGCGCCCGAAAGCTAGAAATAGTATAAATAGTTGGTTTTTCCTTACAAATGTGGCCACCTTCTTCCCAGCCACGGAGGAGGCTAGAGTCATGGAAAACAAAACACATTCAAACAAACAAACAAACAAAAAATCCAGAAGTTTTTGGGGAACGGGGGCAGAATAGTGTTGTTTGTTTGACGGTTTTTATGCTTTTTTTCTTGGCGGCATTGGTTTTGGTGCATTCAGATGATGATCAAATGATGATTTCAGAAATACTATATATATATATAAGCAATGGCGTTCTACGATTGTCACCGTCACCCCCATAGCGCCCCCTTCTGCTAGACAAACCTGTATCAGAGGCCTAAGTGCTTTTAAAAAAACTAGTGTTTCATTTAAAACATAGTTTTCAAATTTTAATATTTATATTCAAGACTGCTGGAAAAACATGTTCTAGAATCTTGAATCCAGGTCCCCAAAACCTAGTTTCACTGTTTATCTCTAATCTATGCATATATCTATACACATATATACATATGGTATCCCCCGCACATCTGACACTAAGGCATTAAAACCACATGAACAAGGTAGATCTTGGGGGGCACCATATATTTATATATAGTTATATATATATATGTGTTCTTGGAGTTCATAGTAGCACTGAGTGGTCAAAGCAGACGGTTGAGACTCCTTTGGTTGCATCGCTATGAAGCCTGTGAACTGGTCCAGGAATTTGAGACTCGCCTTCGCTTTGGATCAGGCAGAGGCCGGAGGGAAGAAATGGGCAAGGAAAGAGGGGTGCAAGGGGAAAAACTTTCAAAAAAAGGAAGGTAAGGCTTTCTGTAGCCTTTCAAGGGAACTTTACCTTCCTTTTTTCATAGCTCTTCGGATTTCTTGGAACAGGCTATCCTCGGCGACAAGCCTCCAGGCCTGATGCCACATGGGACTTAAGGAAAGCTACTACATTCTCAAGAGAAGTTTCACAATTTTCACCAGTGGCAAACCCTGGCAAACGGATGCAAATGCGAATGTGCCGACTGGCCAACCTGTTCATTTGACAGTGCGATTGACAGTATCATATTGGCGTTTTGTTTGTTTGAGTAGATGAAATGTCATTCTCTTGGACTTCCATGTTCTTTGTTCCTGTATAGTCCTGCACATTGGTTGCCGCTGGTGTGCATCAATCTGTTTGTTTAATTAATATTGTTTAATGACCAATGACTGTGGGAAGCGATTTTGACCTGCCGCAAGATCTGCCAAACGCCTTGGGGCTGAGTTTGGCACTTGCAGAGGCGGGAGATGAAGATTGCCAAAGAAGGTGGTTTGATTGAGAAAGAAAACAACATCCTTTTTCCTTTGTACTTGAAGAATTACAATTGTCAGTCAGTTCGTTTGTCCTTTGATTGGCCAAACCAGAAGTTTGACCTGTGAGTGAGCTGGTTCTTCCGACCGGTCAGACCCGTTAGACCCTTCACGGCATTTGGCAAAGGAAGGATGCAAATGATGCCGGTTTATGATGCACGAATCACACAATAATACGATGTAAAAAATTACGTAGGAGCAAGGACGCTCCTGGGGGCTTCTGGCCTTACTACTAGGAGCAAAAAGCTACTAGAAACAAAGGGCATCGCTACTAGGAACAGAAAAAGTTCAAATTGTAAGACAGGCCCTGGCATCCGAAGAACGATTGCACGGTGGAAGCTTGCAGCAGCTTCACAAGTCGAGGCTGTTCGCGAAGTTTGTTTTTTTCGTAACTAGTAACAGCCCCAACATTCCCCTATGTTCAAACAGGATAATCATGCAATGCCAAATGCCATGTTCAGCAACATGGAAGGTTGATGAGTTATTTTTCTTGAACTGAGCAGTGAGGGGCCTGTCTACTGCCCCATGCCGCATGAGAGATGGAGGTACAAACTTGCCTACCAGAAGTTGCATTGCTTGACCAGCAGCTGGCCGTCTCCTGCGGAACGGTGCCAGCCAAAGTTGACAAGTTCACCTTGTTTGCGTTTCTTGCATCATGACTCATGACAGCTTTTGACTTCTGGTCATTGTTTGTTCATGGCCTATATTTCACCTTTTGTAATTGTTATGGGTTTTATACAGTTCTTTTGAGCTTCGGTACTTGATGTTGACCTGAGAACCGAGGCTCCAGGACCCTGTGCTGGAGAAGCAAAACAGCTTAGGCAAAGTGCCAAAAAACATTTGCTTAGGTTTAGTTCTTGTTCACACTGACTTCAAAGTGTTATCCAATGCCATATTTGTGCCATGTCATTTTGTCTCCATGCCACCTACAGACTCTGTGCAAGTTCAAAATCGCCTTTTGCCCTACTGCGGAATATTGCAGGTGCCTTTTTCACAGCCGCATCACTGACAGACCTTTGGTTGCTTTGCCGCCAAGGGAGGGTGTCGTGGAAACCTTGAGGTCGCTTGAGAAACTAACAGCAAGTGTTGGAGCCAGACACTCTTGTAGGCCACACTGTTGTAGGGCACTCTCAGGGGGCATGAGTCAAGCTTTCAAAAGGAGCCTTTCGTCCGAGACTTCCTCCCAAAGCGACGAGCCTCAAAACAGTGAGGCGTCAAGCCCCCAAAACGAGCATTTCACACAAGACTTCCTCCAAAAGTGGTGCGTCAAGTCTTCAAAGAGAGTATGTTTACTAAAATTCTAAGGGCTCCGCCCCTGGTGCCGCCGACCCCTTTTTT